GAGAGAGAGAGAGAGAGAGAGAGAGAGAGAGAGAGAGAGAGAGAGGCAGACAGACAGAGGCCAGTTGCCAAGCAGCCAAAGTTTCATTACGTGGCTGAGGACGTTTCAACAGTTGTAAGTATGAAAGGTGGTCGAAAGTCCCTTTTTCCAGGGCTGTTGTAATTTGAAGTCACTAAATGAACCGTTGTAAGTCAGGGAACGTGTGTGGTCAACCAGGGAGTTGCGGGGCGTCAGGCTGGGCTGGCTGGACTCAAGCCGCAGACGGCAGCCTAAACTGGTCCAGGTTAATGTGGCACCGTCCAGAAACGAGGCGCCGTTCTGTGGTCGTCCCATCCGAGAAAAGCCCCTGATAACATGTTTTTTAAAAATCCATCCGTGTCTGGATCCAATGTCGCCTGAAAAAAGTCCTGTAGCTTCTAACGGTCGCTAAACGAACTGTCGTATAAGTCGAGGACTACCTTATATATACGATGGGGTGTTTTTTGTTTTTTGACGTGAGCTGCCTGGCGTCCCCTTGGTGGGAGTTGGGGGGGGGAGCGGCACCAAAGCCCCGGCTGACCGGCGGGTGACGGGCGTCCCGTTGCAGGGCGGAGATGCTGCAGCTGTACGAGCTCTGCCTGCTGACCGACATCGAAGTGGCCGATGCGCAGAACGTGGACCAGCTGCTCTGGAAGAACGCCTTCTACCAGGTGATCGAGAAGTTCCGGCAGCTGCTCAAGGACCCGGCGGGCGGGGAGAGCGCCCAGGAGATCCGCGGAAAGCTGCTCCAGATCCTGGACGAGGTGAGGCCGTGGGGGTCTCGGGGCGCCCCGGGCGGGTGGGCCGGAAGGCGGGAGGGGTGGGGGCCGGAAGGCAGCTGCCCTTCTGGGACAGCCGGTGGAACGCGAGGACCTCTTCCCTCCAGAGGTCACCATATCAGTGGGTGCTTCATATCAGAGGCTGGACAATCCTCTGTCTGGAATGGTGTAGGGCAGGGGTCTCCAACCCCCAGTTCCACGGACTGGTACCAGGCTGTGGCATGCCAGCAACTGGGCCTCACAAGCAAGCTGTCATGTGTCTGATTAACGAAACAGTTAAAAGGACTTTCAGGCATATTTTTTCCTAAAAGCATTTATTAAGGTTACAGAGACGTCAGTACAGCATGGTGGAAATGCTTAAGTCTGGCTTCTCTTCCGTTACGCATATACATTCTAAGCATTTCCCACCCCCTTATTTTGGGGTCATGGTTCACATCTTCCAATCAACTTGGAAGATGTGATTTACTTCGGGTTTCTTTCTCCCGGGCTATCCTTATACTCCTCCCTTTTTCCCTGTTGCCTGGTTTAACTATAAAAATACCAGACAGTTCTGCATATTGTCAAAGCAAGAATATACAGTATTTGCAGCGTTGACACAAGCAAAGCCCAGGCAGCACGTGAAACCAGGCCCTCTCCGGTCCACAGAATAACCTCCGTCCACAGACCTGGTCCCTGGTGCCCCAAAGGATGGAGGCCACTGGTGTAGGGCCTCCTGGCTTGAGCAGAGGGGCTGGACTAGAAGACCTCCGAGGTCCCTTCCAGCTCTCTTCTGACTCTAGATTCCAGGAGGCGGCTCTTCCTTGGAAAGAACGCGGCTCCCTTCCTTTCCCTATCCCAGCCGAAGGGGACAGTGTGCAGGCAGTCCTCGGCTCACGACCGTCCCTTTAGCCACCGATCGGAGTTAGAGCAAAGCTGAAGAAAGTGACTTATAGGCAGTCCTCACACTTATGACGGTTGCAGCATCTCCACAGTCACATGGTCAGAATTTGGATGCTGGGCAGCCGGCGTTTTATTTATTTATTTTTGAAAATTCATGTTACCTACACACGGGGACTCTAGGTGGCCTACGGAAAAAGGTGGCACATGTTCAGGATGGTTGCCACGTCCCCCGGGTCACGAGACCCCCGCCTGCCAACTTCCCAGCCGGCTTCCGGCAAGGCAAGTCCGTTGGGAAAGCTGGATTTCTTTTTTTTATTATTATTTTTCATTATTGTATTTTTATGTGTTTCTTATTATTGTATTTTATTTTATTTCATTTATGTTTATTTTACTGTTTTGTTCTATTTCATTTATTCATTTATTTATTAAAATTATTTGCCGCCTACCTCGCCCTGGGGCTCCCCCGGGTGGCTTACAACAATAAAAACGAAACGAAAAGAAGATAACAGTAGCAAAACAACGAAGCAATAAAATAGACCAGGGGTGGGGAACTATGACCTCCTTCGTGACTTGTGGACTTCAACTCCCAGAATTCCTCAGCCAGCCTGGCTCGGCTTGGAAACCTCCCCCTTTCCCCTCAGCATGGCTGGCTCAGGAATTCTGGGAGTTGAAGTCCACCAGTCATAAAAGAGCCAAAGTTGCCCACCCCTGAAATAAGACAATGAAATAAGCAGCAAAAATACAGCAATAAGAGATTAAAATATTTGCTTTTCCTTTTACACCTGTCCTGCTTCGCTTAGCCAGCAGGGCCAAAAGGTGATAAAGTCAGCCGTGACACTCAACAACTGCCTTGCTTAGCAACAGAGCTTTTGACCCCGGTCGTGGTCGTAAGCCGAGGGCTGCGTGTGGGGCGGCTGGCCCAAGAGGCAGATCGGAGGGCTCCCCAGGGCTGCAGATCTGCCTGGGAAGGGAGTCCATCTGTAACCAAAACCTGAAGCAGAAAATCTGCAGACATTTTCAGGGCTGGATCAGGGCAGCCGCAGCAGCTGGCCTGGCACCCTTTGAGGTTCAAAGGCCAAAGGTCAGCTGAGCCGTTTGGAGGAAGGCCCCCGCCTCCTTAAGTGGGGAGGAAGGGGTGTCCACCCTCAGGCCCAGCCAGAAGAACGTCCTCCTCCCCTCCCCGCCCCCCCCCTCCGGCCACTTCCATCTGTCCCCCATTTGCGTGATGAATGTCCGTGGGCACTGGGGAGGGCCGGCTTGGGCCTTGCCCCTTTTCCCACTATTTCTCCGGAGCTCTTTCGAGCAGGGCAAGGAGGGGCTGCTGCATTGGTGCCATTGGTGCCTGGGGTCTTTTGGGGGTCTTCCAGCCCAAAGCTCTGCAGGGTCCTGTGAAGGGAGCCCGGGCGATACGTCCCCAGGAGGACCCAGGGAGACCTAGGACAGTGGTGGCGAGCCTATGGGACGCGTGCCAGAGGCGGCACTCAGAGCCCTCTCTGTGGGCACGCACACCATGCCCTGAAGATGGCAACCGTCCCTCTTCAACCAGCCGCCCGCTAACTCGCCGAGGTCCCACGTGGCCGGAGGCATCCCAGCACGGATGGTTTCCCTCCCCCCCCCCATCCCATCCCTCCTGGCCTCACATGCTCTCCTTTTCCCGGGCACGACCCACTGCATCGCCTCCTCAGCTGTCGGCCGGCCGTCCAGCTCAGAGGCGGCTTCTCTGAACTGCTGGAGGCGGGCTGCGGAGCCCCAGAGTGTGCCAGTCAACGGGCCGGCAGGCTGTGGCTGCTGACAGACACTGTCGGCCCCCATGCATTTGCTGGCTTCTGTGTGCGGGGGCCGATGGTGTCAGGTAGCAGCCGCCCCGGCCCCTGCCTCGCCTTGCCCTGCGACAATGGCACCCCCGCCCTGCCTCGCCTTGCCTCGCCTCACCCCGCAGGACGAGCCTCCTGCCCACCGCCCCACCTGGCAGAGACCCCCTGGATCTCCCCCAACCCTGCCCGGCCCCCACAGGCGTCCCTCCCCACGAGCAACATCGAGGTGATCACACCCACCTTGACCACACCCACCCAGTCTGCCATGACCACCACAGCCACGCCCACCCAATGCGCCACACCCACCCGGCACCCGGTGATAAATAAGTGGGTTTTGGGTTGCAGTTTGGGCACTCGGTCTCTAAAAGGTTCGCCATCACTGGACTAGGAAGCTCTTGCCCTCCTGTCAGGCCTCTTGCTGTCCTGTTCGTGGGGGGGGGGGTGTTAGGGGAAACTGTTTGGTGGATCTGAAGCTCTCCCCCCTTATCCACGGGGGGGTGGGCTTTTCCCCCTCCCCCCAAGGCTCCTGCCTGTTGCCCTCGCCCTCTGCTCAAGGACAGAGCAACCTGGAACTCAGGAGAAACTTCCTGGCAGTGAGGACAATTAACCAATGGAACAGCTGGCCACCAGAAGTCCTGGGTGCTCCATCGCTGGAGGTCTTCAAGAAGAGACTGGACAGCCGTTTGTCCCGATTGCTGGAGCGTCTCCTGCTCGAGCAGGGGGTTGGACTAGAGGACCTCCAAGGTCCCTTCTCACCTCTGTCCTTCCGTGACTGCTGCTTTCTCTCCCCCCCAGGGCACTGTCTTCTTCGACGGCTTGCTGCAGAAGCTGCAGGCCACCTACCAGTTCAAGCTGGAGGACTACATGGACAGCATGGCGGTTCGCACCAAGCCCCTGCGGAAGACGGTGAGGCGGAGCGGGGGGGGCAGCAGGTGGTTCGGGGGGGAGCAAATATTTCCTTTTAATCTGGTTTTAAATTGGTATTTATTGTAATATTGGTTTTATAAGGCTGTCAGCCGCCCTGAGTCCGGTAAGGAGAAGGGCGGGATACAAATCAAATAAATAAATAAAATAAATAAGGTTCGGGGCACCCCTGAGGATCCCACGGTGGCCAGGGCCAGACTCTGGGAGCGCTGAGGAGCTTTCCCTTAGGGCAAGGGGTAGGCCACCTCGGCTCTTTTATGACTCATGGACTTCAACTCCCAGAATTCCTGAGTCAGCAAAGCTGACTCAGGAATTCTGGGAGTTGAAGTCCATGAGTCATAAAAGAGCCGAGGTGGCCTACGCCTGCTAGGGCAGCCCCTCGCCCTCCGGGGTGACAGGCCTGGCCTTGCCCTGAGAAGGGGCAGGGAGGGGGGTCTCCGGCCGCCCCCTCTCCAGCCGCCTCCCTGCGCTCCCCTCCCCAGGTGAAGTACGCCCTCATCAGCGCCCAGCGGAGCCTGATATGCCAGGGCGACATCTGCAGGTACCGCGAACAAGGCAGCGACACGGCCAACTACGGGAAGGCACGCAGGTAGGCCAGGGGGCAGCGGGGTGGGGTCCGTGAGGGGCACGGCGGGCTGAGGACGGATCGCTACGTCGCTTTCTTTGGAACGGCCGTTAAACAAAGCTCACCTGTAGGCACCTTCGCGGCGCCTGACGCCCACACCTGAGCTGCTGCCTCTGCCCTGGTGCCAGGGTCTCCGTAGGGAGCCCCCCGTCCCGAGTGGGAGAGACCCCTCCCCTTTGCACTGAGCAGGGCTTGAAACTGCTGCAGCTGGGCAGAAATGCTCCCCCTTCCCAGCCTGGTCTCGGCTCGTTCCCCCCCCCAAAGGGACGTAAAAGTGGAACCCTAGAGGGGGGGGCCTCTCCGTTGCTCTCCCACCACCACCACCTGCCAAGAGGATGGCATGAACTCCCCCCCTCCAGCTTCCACAGCCACCCGGCTCATTGGGCCCCAGGATGCTTTTCCAGGCTCGCTCACCCCACCCACCCACCCACCCCTTCACCTAGAAGAGCTGGGGGGCATGTGGGGGGGAGCAGGAGGGGAGGGGAAGTGGGGCCTAGCCAGGTGTGGCAGCTCTAGGCAAGCAAAGGCACCCACCCTCTGGCCTTGGTCCCTGCCAGGAGCCGGGCCTGAGCGGTCAGTGGCAGCCTGGCTATAGGGGGCCAGAGCCGGGGCTGGAGCTGGCCAGCCGTGGCAAAAGGGGCAACCGTGCCGAGATACGGCCGAATCCCCGTGAGTGCAACAACTGGCAGAGGCAGGCAAATGCTGGGGCCACCTCACACCCCCCCCAACAACCCCAGAACCTAACCCTGCTGCCTTAGGGAAGGGCCAAGCCCCGGTCAGAGGCGCGTTGGGGGCAAAGGCCCCCTGTGTCCTGCTTGGCTTCTGTCTTAGCCTGTCCCTAGCATTGACCCCTAGAGCGGCCAGCAGGAGGAAGGCCTTGAGGGCCCCTCTGGGCAAAGGGCACAGGGAGGGAGGGAGGGAGGGGGCACCCTGCCAGCGCCTGTCGGGGGCTCTTCCCAGGTCAGAGTCCTCCGGGAGGGGTGCCTGGGGGCCAAGGACTGGGGCCTTGGGAAGCCCTCCTGCCCCTGAGGGGAGCCAGCGGGTAGAGCCCAAGCCTCGGGCAGCCCCTGGGGCTGAGGAAAGGACGGACCCTCTCGTTACCCCCTCCCTCCCTCCCTCCCTCCTCGGGGGGCTCCAGCAGTGCCTGCGCTGAGCGTGCCCCCCCCCCGACCCGGCTCTTCTGCGGCTCCTGCCATCCGCTCACTGGCCCTCTTCTCTCTCCCCAGCTGGTACCTGAAGGCCCAGCACGTGGCCCCCAAGAACGGCCGCCCGTACAACCAGCTGGCCCTCCTGGCCGTCTACACGGTGAGAGGGAGGCTCCGGCCCGGCTCTGCGCGCCCCGCCCTCCTCCGGCCACGGCCCTCTTCAGCCGGCCCACGGGGGGAGGCGGGACTGGCGGGAGGCTGGGGGGGCAGCAGGCTCCCCACGGAGGCCAGGGCCATCGGTGCCAGGCTGCCTTTGGGTCCCAGGCCAGGGCCTGCTGTGTCGGGGTGGGGGTGGGGGTGGGGGGGTCCCCTTTCAGCACCTGCCAGGGGGGCTCGGCCAGAGCCGGTCCTTTCCCTCCAGCAGGCGGGGTGGCGGGAGGGGGCTCAGGCCCCGACTCAGGGTACAGGTAGTCCTCGACTTACGACCACAGTTGAGCCCAAAATTTATGTTGCTAAGTGAGACATTGGTTAAGCGGGTTTTGCCCCATTTTAGAACAGAATAGGGACCTTGGAGGTCTTCTAGTCCAGCCCCCTGCTTGAGTAGGAGGACCCGTACCGTCTCAGACAAGGGGCTGCCCAGCCTCTTCCTAAAAGCCTCTTAGGGCTCTTCCTCCCACTTCCTGTTAAGTGAATCACTGCCCTTGTTAAATTAGTCATACGGTCGTTAAGTGAATCCGGCTTCCCCCGCTGACTTTGCTGGTAAGAAGGTTGCAAAAGGGGATGGCGTGAGACGCCTGGAGGCTGCGACCGTCACATGTATGACCCACTTGTCAGAGATCCGAGCGTTAACCACGTGACCGGGGGGGGGAAGCTGAAACGGTCGTAAGTCTGAGAAACAGTCACAAGTCCCTTTTTTCAGTGCTGCTGTAACTTCAAATGGTCGCTAAACAAACTGTTGTAAGTTGAGGACTGCCTCTGCTTGACCGTCGTCCCATCGCTGCATCGGGGAGGGGGGGAGTCATGTCTGGCTGTCCCCCCTCTGACGCCGTCCGCCCGTCTCTCTCTGTCCCCGCAGAGGAGGAAGCTGGACGCCGTCTACTACTACATGCGTAGCCTGGCCGCCAGCAACCCCATCCTGACGGCCAAGGAGAGCTTGACCAGCCTCTTCGAGGAGACCAAGCGCAAGGTCGGTAAGCGGGGCGGCCGGCCCGGCCCACCCGGCCCCCCCCACCAGCTCCTCATGGCCCTCTCCCCCCTTCCCCCGCAGGCAGAGCAGCTGGAGCAGAAGAGCCCCCGGGGCCAGGGCAGCCAGCGAAGCAGGAAGGCGGCCTTCCGGCCCTCCGGAGACGATGCCACCCGCCTGGAGCTCTGGATCCACCCCTCTCACCCGCGCTCCGGCCAGGGCCACGAGTCCAGCCGGGACTCCGGGCAGGACAGCGGCCTGGGCGGCCTCAGCCCCAGCGAGGTGAGCCCTGGAGGGGGTGCGGCGCTCTGTGCGGCCACAAGGGGGCGCTGCTCGGCTTGCTATGGGGGGAAGCCCAGGCTTTGGGTTGGGGGAGTGGGCTGGGTAGAAGGTAGTGGTGGTGGGGGGCCTCCTTGCCAGCCCTGCCTGGGTGCCACTCTGGCAGGCCCTGCCCCTCCTGTGCCAAAAGCTGGCCGGCCGGCCTCTGCCTGGGGAGGGATGCTCTGGGCTGCAAGGTCGGGGGGGGTGAAAACTTTGAAAATGCAATAATTGAAATAAGTAGCCTTTCTTGAAAATAGTTGTAAGATATGATGATGATGATGATGATGATGATGATGATGATGATGATGATGATGATGATGATGATGATAAAGTTGGAAGGGACCTTGGAGGTCATCTAGTCCAACCCCCTGCTCAGGCAGGAAACTCTATACCAGGGGTGGGCAACCTTGGCTCTTTTATGACTGGTGTACTTCAACTCCCAGAATTTCTGAGCCAGCCATGCTGAGGGGAAAGGGAGAGGTTTCCAAGCTGAGCCATGCTGGCTCAGGAATTCTGGGAGTTGAAGTCCACCAGTCACAAGGGGGCCACAGTTCCCCCATGCTGGCTGAGGAATTCTGGGAGTTAAAGTCCCCGAGTCATGAAGGAACCACAGTTCCCCCATGCTGGCTCAGGAATTCTGGGAGTTGAAGTCCATGAGTCATAAAATTACCCCTGCCCTATACCGTGGCACAACAGTTTTGACATCTTGAAAGTTTAAAGCAGGGCTGTCCAGGCTTGGCTACTTGAAGGCCTGCGGACTTTGACTCCCAGAATTCCCCAGCCGGCTTCCCCTGGCCGCAGGCCTTTGAGTGGCCACGCTCGGACGCCCCTGCTTAAAAAGCTTAGTGTGTATATTAAAAAAACCCCACCCTTGGGGGGCCCTGCAACATCCCTCAAAATGGCACACGGCTGCCCACTTCCGGGATAATCTGAGAAAGTTGGGGGAGCCCGGCCCTTGGTGGCTTAGTCAACAAACCATGGTTAGTGAGCACCCGTCCATGCATCATCTCCCAGGTTTGCTGCTCTCATCTTTGCTGAGTAGGGGGTGTTGCAAATGGGGCGGCGTGAAGAAGGGGAGGCCCCAGGATGGTTGGGGGAATTGGTGGAAGCTTGTGGGTCCCACTGGAGTAATCTTCCCCCCCCCAAGATCCAAGCCCAAGAGGAAGCTTCTCTGCACGTGGGGCTGATTCTTTGCTGAGATGAGGGGGGGGCTCTGAGCTAGGGGAGCAGGCCAGGCACCCCTGGGTGTCCCCGGAAGCCCTGCCAGGGCTGGAGGAGGCTGCCCCCCCCTCCCCAGAGCGGCTGCGTGCCAGTTCCCCTGGGAGCCGACTTGACCTGGGTCACCAAAACCGCCCCGTAGCTTTATTTTGACTTGCGCTGTTTCAGTTTCCAGCTGTGAGTTTCCGAAAGGAGGAAGCCGCGGGTGCCAGCCTGCGAGGGGGGGCTAGAGGCAGAAACCACATGCCCGTGGGGGGGGGCCGACCCCTGCACTGTGTGCCGTGCGTTACGGGACGACCTCGGGACCGACCCTTGCCTTCCCGACAGTCCCTTCAGGGGGGGGGTGCGTCCGGTCTCAGGGAAGAGGACGTGGGGGGGTCGGAGAGCCGTCGCCCCCCCGCCCCCCTCCTACCCCCGTGTGACCTTCCGCTGTCACTCACAAGGCCCAGTGAGGCTCCCACGGAGGGTTTCCAGGCATGGCAAGGAAGGCTTGTCACTGTTTGGGGTGGGGGTGGGGTGGAGGTGCTACGGGGGGTGGGGGGTTATGCTTGGGGCAAGGCCCATCCAGAGCCAGTTCATTTTCCGGGGGAGATGACAGGGCAGCCTTGCCCAATAGTCTCTCCCTTCCACACACACACACGGGCCCCCAGATTACACCTTCCCACACTTTCATGAGGACTAGAAGCTTCCCCTGGCCTCCTCCTGACCCCTGACGGCACTCACTCATGATTTTACGTGGTCTGGGAGTTTCCCCTCTCAAGGTGGTTCAGCTGTCAGCATGGGAACAGCCGGGCTCTGGGTCTCGTGCAGAGGGTCGTCCGGTGCCCACAGACCCCACTGGAGCCACATTCTCATCTCCCCCCCTCCCCCCATTCTGCTTGTGGAGGTTGCCTTTCGTGGCCCCGTCTGGCTTCGGAGGAGTGACGGTCGCTGAGGGGAGGAGTGGAAAGGAGAGAGACCCCCCCCTTGCGGGCTTCCGAGGAGCCGTGTGAGCCTTGGAACGGCCTCCCCCGGCCCCCTACCCCCCCCCTCCGGAGCAGCCACCTCCTGGGGGCTCCAGCACTCAGGCCCCCTGCCTGGCCCTTCTTCACCCCCTCCCCAGGGACACCGCAGCATCGTTGGGGGCGACAGACCAGCCTTTCCCGCCCTGGGCCCACCTCTGGGCCCGCGGACTTCAAGTCCCAGCATCCTCCACTGGCTCCACACTAGCTGGGGAATCGTGGGAGCTGCAATTCACACGTGCAGCGGTGCCCAGGATGGGGGAAGGGCACAAGCTTCCGGCCTCTCCCTGCCAGCCTGCCCCTTCGCTCCTGGTCCTGGTGGCTTTTGGGGGGGCTCCCTGCCCCTCGGGACCCCCCTGGCTTCTGCCTGGGCCGGCTTCCCTGGAGGGTCTCCCGAGGGCCGGACAGGTCGGGCCCCTCTGTTGTGGCCGCTGTTTCTGCCAGCAGCTGCTGCTCCGCCTTCCCTGAGGGGGAGCCCAGTTTATTTGGGGGGCCCCCCTTGGATCCTTTCCTGGAGCAGAGGCTGCGGGGGTCTTCCGCACGAGGTCACGGCAAGGGCAGGGGGGGAAGGGCCCGGGCACGCACGGGGGGGGGGGGCAGCTCTGCAGGGCTCAAAGGAGCTGGGCTGCCGCAGCCGGCTTTGCAGACGCGCCCGTGGGCCGGTGCCGCTTCCTCTTGTGGGCAGCGAGCCCCGGAGGTTCCCAGCGCCGGCCTGGCAGGTGAGTCACGCAAGGGCTGAGTCATCTGCAGAGCGGCCCCGGCAGGCGCTCTCGGCTCAGCTGGGCTGGCGCAGCTCTGCAGCCGGCCCCGGGGTCAGGAGGGGAGAGCGGCTGCGGCCTGCTTTTGTGTCTCTCGGGCTGTTGTGCTCCACAGGTGCAGCTCCCTCACACACACACACACACACACACACACACACACACACACACACACACACCCCTGTGGGGTGGGGTGGACGTGAACTGCTGCCTTCCCAGGCCTAGTCTGCAGGAGGGGGGGCTGAGGGGAATGGGGCCGGGCCTCGCACTGGGGACCCTCGGGCTCAGCGCCCACCCCCCGGCAGGATGCTCTCTGCCTCCCGAGATGTTTGGGAAATGCAGCTTTTCCAAAAGGCATCTGGCCCCCCTCGTCGTTTTTCTTTGGAAACGTTTCGCTTCTGAAGTCCTAAAGAACTGAAGAAGCTTCTCAGATGGGAAGTGAAACCTTTTCAAAGAAAACAAAAAAAGTCCAGCTGCCTTTTGGGGGAAAAAGCACCTTTGGGGCAGCCGTGAGGCCTGGAGGATGGAGAACCTCCACAGGCCTTCAGTGACGTCGCCGGTCTCGGGAAGGGGGGCCAGTTTCTGGGGCCGGCCCACAGGTGGGACCGGAGAGATCGGCAGCGGAACTGGCAGTACCTTGATTCTGCTTCTGATCCACCACCCCCCAGCCCCCCACAAGGAGGGCCCCGTTCTTTGAGGGTCGGACGGGGAGGCCCGGGTCAGCGAAGGGTTAGGGTTAGCGAAGCGAGGGGAGGGGGACTCGTCCTGAGGATGCCTGCTTGGGGTTTCCTACTTGAGCAGGGGCTGGAGCTGGGGCCTTGGGCATCTCCAGCTGGCCAGCTTGGCGTGGCCAACTTGCTACGGCCAAATCATTGGGGAACAACTGGCAGCAGGACGAGAGTTACGCTAATATCAATGGGATGGAATGGAATTAATTAGAATTAGAATAGAAATAGAATAGAAATAGAGTTGGAAGGGACCTTGGAGGTCTTCTAGTCCAGCCCCCTGCTCAAGCAGGAGGACCTACGCCATCTCAGACAAGTGACTGTCCAGTCTCTTCTTAAAAACCCTGGAGGTTTTTAAGAAGAGACTGGACAGTCACTTGTCTGAGATGGCGTAGGTCCTCCTGCTTGAGCAGGGGGATGGACTAGAAGACCTCCAAGGTTCCTGGTGGCAAGCTGTTCCACTGGCCAACTGTTAGGAACTTTCTCCTTAATTCCAGGTTGCTTCTCTCTTTGGTCAGTTTCCAACCATTGTCGGTGGAACAGAATCATTAAAGAAAGGATGTAAAAGAAGGGACAGAATGAAATGGGAATGACAAAACTTAAAATCATTTTTTTAAAAAAAATTATTTTAAACACTTGAATTGCAAGGCTGCATTTTGAACCGCGGCGAGTTGTCCCACTCGGTTGGACTAGAAGACCTCAAAGGTCCCTTCCTGGCAGGTTGGCATGCCTACAGTGGCAGCTGGGGAGGCGGGCACTGCCTGGGCAGAGCGTCCCTGCTTGCATCACATCACACACACACACACACACACACGCGATGATCCGGGCTTGTGTCCAGCGGCAGTTGCAAAGCCCCCGGCCGCCAGCAGGGGGGGCCCTGGCACCGCCGCCCTCCTCTGCAGCTGTCTGGCAGGGGCCCTCCGAAGGCCCGGGGGGGGGGGGCTGGAGGCCAGGCACGGCCGCTGGGTTCCCATCTGCCGTAGCCACCCCCCCCCCTCGGCCCTGGCCAGGTTCTCCGGCCACTCTGGGAGGCTGCTGGGCGTTCTTCGCAGGAAGAGGGAGGGAGGGAGGGGGCCTGGATTGTTTTCTCATCTTCTTCATCGTGTCCCCCCCCCCTTTTCTCTCTCTCTCTCTCTCTCTCTTTTCCCATCCAGCTGAACAAAAGGTTCGTCCTGCGTTTTCTCCAGGCTCATGGGAAGCTGTTTACCAAGATTGGGTAAGGCTGCAGGATGTTTGTTTTGTTTCGCCTCCATTACCAGCCCTTCTGGAATCCAGTCCCGGGAGCAGCTGGGCTGGCGTTTGGAACGGAACGGAGGGCACAGGGTGGGATGCGAATGACCGGCCGCCTCCTCCTCCTCCTCCTCCGCTGCGGGGGGGGCTGGGGGGAGAGGAGGGAGGGGGCGGGCTCTGCGCCTGAAGCTGGCTGGGCACTCTGCCTGGGGGAGGCTCAGAGCAAAACCCCTCTTGTAGGACGGAGCCGGGAGGGACCTTGGAGGTCTTCTAGTCCGACCCCCTGCTCAAGCGGGAGGCCCTAGGCCAGGGGTGTCCAACCTTGGAACTTGAAGACCTGTGGACTTCAACTCCCAGAATTCCCCAGCCAGCAAAGCTGGCTGGGGAATTCTGGGAGTTGAAGTCCACAGGTCTTAAAGTTCACAAGATTGGACACTCTTCCTCCTGCTTGGGCAGCGGTCAGGGCTCTCCTGAGCCCCCTCTGGCTCTCTCTCTCAGCAGCGTGGCCCCCCTGCTTGTGGGTCCCAAGCCAGGGAGACGGCAAGTGCCCCACTTTCTCCCCTCCAAGTGGATTTATGAGCACGGTGGCGACTGCTGGCGGCCCCCTTCTGCTCAGTGCTGGGCCTGGGCTGTTCCTGAGCCTACCACCCTTCAGCACCTCAGCCTCAGGGCCCCCTAGATTCCCCATTGCCCGCCCCTTTTGTGTGGGGAGCTGGTCAGGAGCGCCTCATCCCATGGTGCCCCTCTCCCCAGAGTTTCTGTGATGCTGACAGGCATGGGGGGGGAGAGGCAAGAACCCCTGTGCCTCTGTTGCTCCTGGGGACTGAAGCCCAGATGGTGGACCTCAGCAGCTGGCAACCGCTGGCAGCCCCACTCTCCGTGCCATCTCTCTCCTCCCTCTCCCTCTCTCTCTCTCCTCCCTCTCCCCTCTCTCCCTCTCCTCCCTCCCTCCTCCCTCTCTCTCCTCCCTCTCTCCCTTCTCTCTCCTCCCTCTCTCCCTTCTCTCTTTCCTCCCTCTCCCCCTCTCTCTCCTCCCTCTCCCCTCTCCCTCTCTCCCTCCCTCCTCTCTCTCCTCCCTCTCCCCTCTCTCCCTCTCCCTCTCTCCCTCCTTCCTCCCTCTCTCCCTCTTCCCTCTCTCTCTTCCCTCTCTCCTCTCTCTCTCTCTCTGAAACTTTTTGGGGGCCGCTTTTGCCATGCGCTGCATCAATGGGTCCTTCCTTCCCCCAGTCCTGGGGCTCCCCCATTCAGCTCCGAAGAGTCCTTCCCACCTTCTCCCTCTTCTGCCTGGTTTTGTTTATTTTTTTATTTCGGTTCACTGCACAGTCAGCCAGATGTTCAGGCTGGCTTTGGCCTTTCTGTCCACCTCCCGAGCCCTTCCCAGGGACCCCGGGATGGGCAGATGGGCTGGCTGGATGGGGTCAGAGGTCTCTTCGGAGGAGGTCAGCCGTTTCACGGAAAGCTGCCTTTTGCAATCGAGTGACTTTATTCTTATTGTTTATTAAATTTGCTTGCACCATCCTCCCCCCCATCTCACTGAAAGGCGATTCTGGGCAACTTACAACATCAAAAATAAAGTCATAACTATATACAGTATACCAGTGTATAAAATCACAATAAAATCACGGTGAAAATACAGATTATAACTAAAAGGAAGAGCTGGGGAGGAAAGGAGCAGATACGTCTCCCGGCACCCCTTTGCCCCCGTCTCCTCTGCTTGAGCCCCCCCCCCATCCTCTGGATTGCCCCTTTCTGCACCATTTGCAGCACCACAACCTCCCCCTTCAAATCCACCCAGTTCTAAACTTGGTTTCCCCAGAAATAAAACATAAACACACAACTGCCACCGCAGCAGCAGCAGCAGCAACTTCCTTATCACTCTCAAAGGGCCCTTGCTTTTTTTCAAAAACCAGCGCAGTTCCTGGAAAAGGGATCCACCCCGATTCCAAGACCCCGTCGCTGCCTGTCCGGACCCCCCCCCTTTCGTGTGGGGCTGGACATGGGGGTTTCTCACCCTGGGCCCCACTGGCTGCTTTGGGGGCAGAGATTCCCTTTTCGGTTTAGTCCCTGCGACAGGTTGGGGTCCTGAGCAAGCTTGGCCCTCTCACCCCGGTCAGTCTCGGCTTCGAAGGCCAGGTCCCAAACCGAGGGGCCTCCGCTTTGGAGAGCCCCCCCCCAGGCTGCCCCCTTCCTCTGCTTCCTGCCTCCGGCCCGTCTCCTTTGCTCCGCGGCCGTCACCGGGAGGGTCTGACGGTCCGAGCACCTGTGGCTGGCTGGAGGGGTCCCTCTTGACCCCTCGAAAGGACCAGAGGGGGGGGAGCATCTCTTCAGGGAAGCCCCCACCCCCATTTCCACAGCACAGTGCACCGGTCTCCATCTTGGATTGTGGTTCCCTGGCCTTCTTCTCAGCTGGGGTGTCAAGCTGATGGAGCTGACATAACCCTCCCTCCTCCCCTCCCTTTCTTAAAATTGAAGTTACGCTGGTATTTTCCAGTCCTCTGGAACAGATGTCTTGGCCTTAAAAAGGAGTTTATTTTTGTCAGAGGATGGGGAGTCTCTTAAAAGCTTCAGGTGAAGGCCATCTGGGCCCTTCGCTTCCTTCCCTTCGGTCAGACGGGCTGGCAGCTCCTCCCCACCGGTTCTACTCCCTTCAGGCGTGGCCCGGCCCCTGCCAAGGGTTGGTGATGCCACGGGCAGCTGTACTGCAGGCAGTCCTCGGCTTACAGCCGTTCCCTTAGTGACCGTTCAAAGTTACGAGGGTACTGGAAAAAGTGACGTGACCGTTTTTTTTTCCACACTTAAGACAGTCGCAGCGTCCCCGGGGCCGTGCGATTAAAATCCGGTCGACAGCTGTCTCGTATTTACGACGGTTGCAGGCGCGCGATCCCCTTTCGCGGCTTTCTGACCAGCAAAGTCAGCGGGGGGGAACCAGATTCGCTTAACAGCCGTGTGACTCGCTTAACAGCAGCAGCAGCAGCGATTCACTTAACAGCCGTGGCAAAGGAAGTCGTAAAATGGGACAAAACCCACTTCACAACTGCCTTGCTTAGCCACGGAAATGTTGGGCTCCGTTGTGGTCGTAAGCTGAGGACTCCCTGCACCGTTCATGTTTTAAATCTAGAAATAAATAAGCCACAGCAGAACTCGGTCGGGGTCTTCAGTGCCCACCCCCCTCTTGGGCCCAGTTGGGGCATGGACAGGGTAGGCCACCTTGGCTCTTTTATGACTGGTGGACTTCAACTCCCAGAATTCCTGAGCCAGCCATGCTGAAGGGAAAGGGAGAGGTTTCCAAGCTGAGCCAGGCTGGCTCAGGAATTCTGGGAGTTGAAGTCCACGAGTCATGAAAGGGGCCATAGTTCCCCCATGCTGGCTCAGGAATTCTGGGAGCTGAAGTCCACCAGTCATAAAATAGCCAAGGTTGCCTACCCCTGGGCATGGAGGATCAAGGACTCTGGTGTGGAGGGCAGCTAGGATGGCAAAGGCCTAACCTGGCAGGCCCCATGAAATCCCAGTGCCACCCAGAAGCGCCCCCCCCCTGCTGCCCAGGGCAGAGGCCTGGTTGCCCTGCGCCAAACTGAGGGGGGGGAGCGAGGCTGGCACTGCTGCCTCCACCGCCCCGTCTCCTTGCAGAGGCCCCCAGAAGGAAAAGTGGCAGAGGTGACTGGGCGGGGGGGTGGGGGGCAGGCTGTGCTTAAATTCTGCCTGGCTGGTCCCCTCAGTCGGTCCGGCCTGTAGTGGCTGCAGGGTTATCTCGCCCCCGGAGTGGCCCAGGCCTGCAGGCAGGGCTTGAGGTGGGCCCCAGGCCCAGCGAGAAGGGGAAGGGGCTCAGGCAGCCCAGGAGAGCAGCAGGAGCCCAGCCCCCTCCTCACCTTACTAGGAACGTCTTAGCTTCTCTCTGCAGTGGGCTGGGAAACGCCCCACCCCACACACCCCTTGCTTTAGATGGGGCCAGGATAGCTGGCCTCTGGAGGGCCCCGGCATCTGCCTACCTCTCGCTCACCCTGCCCTTCTGCCCTCCTTCAGGATGGAGACCTTCCCGGCGGTCGCAGCGGAAGTCCTGACCGCCTTCCAGGCCCTGCTGGAGCACAGCCCCCCACCCATCGGGAGCAGCCGCCTCCTGCAACTCATGGCCATCAACATGTTCGCCGTGCACAACTCCCAGCCCAAAGGTAGGGGCCTTTTCACCTACGGGGGGGGAGGGGGAGGCTTGGCAGGCAGGGCTCCTTGTGCTTCCAGAAGACCCCCCTCCAGCGTGGGCGGCGTTCCAGAAGACCCCCCCCTCATGCTGGCCGGTTGGGGTCCCCTCGGTGCCCGTTCCTTCTCGCGTGCCAAATGGCTCCCAAGGTGGATGAGGCCAGCCTGAAGCGGTTCCAGAAATTGTGTATATTTGGTGTAACGAAAAGGAAGACACGATAGCAGCCTTCCGGTATTTGAGGGGCTGCCCCACAGAAGAGGGAGGGGGGGGTCAAGCCATTCCCCAGCGCACCAGAGGGCCGGAGAAGAAGCCCACGGATGGAAACTAACCAAGGAGAGGAGCGAACTGGAATGAAGGAGAAAGTTCCTGACAAGTGAGAACAATTAACCAGGGGAACGGAAATTGCCTCCAGAGGTTGTGGGTGCTCCATCGCTGGAGGCTTTTTAAGAAGAGATTGGGCAGCCATTTTGCCCAGACTGGGATAGGGTCTCCTGCTTGAGCAGGGGGTTGGACTAGAAGACCTCCGAGGTCCCTTCCCACTCTGTTAGTCTGAAAGCTGTCCCTGTGGGCAGCAGATCCTCTGCCGGGAGACCCCAAGGCCCCATCTGGCCCTGGAGGGGGGGGCTCCCTCTTCCCGGAGACCCGCTAGAGGTTGGGGGGGGGCTCGCCCCGTGCTGGGCCTCCGGCTCCTCCTGCAGCAGCCTCTTGCCTTGGTGGGCATCCGCCAGAGGGGCCGGGGCAGCTGCCCAGAGGAGGGGGTTCCTGGGTGCCCTTGCAAGTCCCCACGGAGGGGTAGACAGCCCTGACCCCCCCCCTCTGCGAGAGCAGCCTGGTGAAATCTGGGCAGGGGGAGCGTTGGCCCGCCGAGGGGGAGAGGGGGGGGGTCCCTGTCTTCCGACCACAAATGCGTGGAGAATGTTCCTTTGGGGGGGATAATTTGGGGGGGAAGTGGGGCGTCTCGTTCTGGTGTGCGAGCGCGCTAATTGAAGCCGGGCTGCTGCGGCAGGGCATCTCGGGGAGGGGAGCAGGCGCCCCCCTCCCCCACCCATCTGCACCCAATTTATTCCAATCTGGACTCTGGGGGCTTTTTCTCCCCCCCCCGCCTTCCCCCTCCTCACTTTAATAATTTGTTTTATAATTGCGCGAATCAAACCCATATCAGGCACACTGTTCTGTTTTAGGGCGTTATTGGATTATGGTTTCTGTGAATCACGGGAAGATGAGTTTATGGGCCACCACGGGGGCTGCCTCTCCTCCCCCTCCCCTCCCCCAGCCCGGCTCACCCCCGGGTCTTCTAGATCTTTCCCCAGACGGAGCTGTGGATCTCCCTTCCGGGCTTCTGGGGCCTCCCGGGCTGAGGGAGAGGTCACCCCCAAAGGGGCGGGAGGTCGGGCCCCTTGCTGCTCTTCCGCAGGGCTGCAGTTCTTGGGGGCTCCTTGGGTGCGAGCCCCCCCTTCCCAGGTCTTGCCCAGATGTGTCGGGACCTCGGGGGGCCTGGCCAGCCAAGGGGGCAGGTTTTCAAGGCGGGGATCCCCTGCACTGCTAATGCTAAAAGCCCCCCAGGCCAGGACCTGTGGGTGCCCCCGCCCATGTTCCTCTGCCCTTTAGACCCTATGTGGCCCCTCCAGCTCGTGTGGCTCCCAGTGCAGCCTTGGCAGAACTCTGACTTCCTGGAAAGGACCCCCCCCTTCCCTTTGAGGCAGTGCAGAGACCAAATTCACGCTGCACTCCTGGGGGGGGGTCCCCTGCCCCTCTTTTGAATGAAAACCCCAACAGGCTTGAAGTGATACCTGGGTGATGGCGTCTTTCTGCTTGGGGTTCCCCTGCCAGGATGCACATGGGGGGCTAAGGGGGGGCTCTCTAGATCCCCATCTTCGGTCTGGCATCACCCCAATAAAAATAGCCCCAGGCTTGATTTAGTGCAGGGCTGGAGAGAGGAGGAGGGGAAGGGGGGAGGAGGAGGAGGAGGAAGAGGAAGAAGACCACCATCTGACTTTTAGGGGTGCTATTTCTGAAAAAGTTTTTCCAGCCGGTTGATCGCAAAGCGAGTTGGTGCCCGCGGTGTGTTGGGGTTGCAGAAAAAATGCAAATGGACGTTTCGGCTGCCTCCACAGAGGCCGAAAGCCCAGCCAGGGGGAAATAATGGCGGTTCTGCTTATTTTACTTGCTGCCCCCCCCCCTTCTGAGCCCGGGAGTGGCCGGCTTGGAGAGGAAGGAAATATTTCCGTGAATCCCGCATCCAGTTCTGGGTGCTGCCCTTAAAGTGGGGGGGGGGGATTTCACAGAAAGGGACCTTGAAGGTCTTCCAGTCCACCCCACCACCCCCACCACCAGGACAGGAATCTAGTTGGAGGAGTAGAGGGAGGGAGGGAGAGGGAAGGGTCAAGGGATGGACGGGCAGCCGTATGCAGCTATTCCTCAATTTACAACAGTTCCTTTAGCGACCGTTCAACCTTAGAATGGCACTGAAAAAAGTGACTTGTGACCGTTTTTCACACTTACGACCGTGGCAGCATCCCCCTGGCCACGTGATCAAAATTAGGACACTTGGGCAGGTGTTTTGTATTTATGACGGTCGCCGCGTCCTGGGGTGACCTGATCCGCTTTTGCGACTTTTTGACGAGCAGAGTCGACGGGGGGGGGGGAAGCCAGATTCACTTAACAACCGTGTTACTAACTTAACTCCAGCGATCCACTTAACGTCTGTCGTAAATGGGGCAAAATTCACTGAGCAACTTAGCAACAGAAATTTTGGGCACGGTTGTGGACGTAAGTCGAGGACTCCCTGCAAATTGGTGGGTTGGCTGAATAAGGACGTGGCAAAGGGCCTCGGGCAGGAGGAGGCTGCGGGCAGCGGATCCTCGCCTTCAGCTCCAGCCGGGATGGGGGGCGATGGCTTCCTAGCAGGGAGACCAGGGGGACGGGGGGGGATGTTCCCACTGACCCCAAGAGTTGGGGGGCTCCTGGGGATGCTGGAGCACAGCGGCACCACCACTTCCCGGGGACTTCGATGCTTCAGAGCCAGGGGTCTGTGGCCGGGCATGGATGGCACGGGGCAGTCCTGGGATGGGGGGGACAAGAGGGGCTTGTGAGCTTGTGAGTCCCTGTCTTGAGGCAGATGCTGTGACGACAGCCCCCCGCCCCCCTCCTGCGTCTCTTCCCTGGGAGCTTTGCCCTCCCTCCCCTCCCCCCAGTTGCTGCTGCTTGGCCAAAGCCCAGCCCTTCATCTTGAGGAGGTGCCAGGACGTTGCCCTCCAGAAGCCAAGATGCCTTCGAAGCGGAGCTGCTTTGTGGCTCGGGAGCTCCCCAGACGGCGTCGAGCTGCAGCCGATGGGGGGGCTTGGCAGAGGGGAGCCCCGGGGGCCTTTCTCCCCTCCTTCTCGCCCCACCGGGCCTGCTGGCAGGATGGCCGGAGCCCCTTCCGGCAGCCAGCCTGGCGGGAAGGAAAGTGCGAGAGGCCGTGCGTGGGATGTGGGTCTGTGCACTAAGCTGACTGGATCGCGGCTTAGCATTGTGGCTTGTCCAGCAAGCCACATTGAAGAGGTGCCACGGGTGATGGGACGTGCAAAGGAGCCCTTCCGGGCCGGCCCAGCACTTCCGGTCTGGCGGAACCGTTGCCTAAAGAAGCATCCAGTTGGCATAAGGAGCCCCGGGGGCACAGGGGTTACCCTGAAGCGTGGCAGGCAGACTCTGCAATCCACAGCCAGGAGTTCGATCCTGGCCGGCTCACAATTGACTCAGCCTTCCGTCCTTCCCAGGTCGGTAAAACGAGGACCCAGATGGTTGGGATGCAAATAACGCTTTCTCTTTAAACCGCCCAGAGAGCGCCATTCAGTGCTGTGGAGGGGGGGCATATGAGCCTAAGCGCCACGGCTGTGGGGGGTGGCCTCTGTTTCTCTTGAGCCCCTCTTGCCTTGACAGGGAGAGTGGTAGAAGAGGGCAACTCGGGGAGCACAGGAGGAGGAGGCGGTCAGGGAAGCCCCCCTCCTTGCCCTGAGAGCCAGCACGAGGGTTGCCGCAGTCAGAGGAGGGGGTCTGGAGGGGTCTTGGCTCTGCTGGTGGACCCAGGGCGTCCAGAGCCTGGGGGCTGCCTACGTGGCTTGGGGGTCTCGGCTGCCCTCCATATCGCCAGCCTCTGCCTTTGGAGGAAAGGGAGCCGGGTGGGCTGTCCTCCCTGGCTACACCCCCACCCACCCCATCCCCGCCGGGGGGGGGGGGACAGGAATTCAGCAGCCGGGGCAGAGAGAGCTGAACAGGGGGTTCAACCCTCCCAATGACTTTATGAAGCCGAAAGGAAAGACCCCACAATTCTCTCTGAGATGCACACGGCCCCCCATGGGGTCGCCCCTGTGAAGGGGCTGCACAGAGCAGGCTGGGCTGAGCTCGGGGGGGGGGGGCAAGATGAGCCTGGGGACTTCCAAACCCCGACCTCCTCCGGTCCTTCCAGGTCAGACTCAGGAAAAGCCTGCACCGAGCGTCGAACCTAGTCGGTTGGCCTCCGTTGCCCCCGCTGGACCCCCAGGGCTCGTCTCTTCGGGTCTGGGTTCACCCCTCCCCTCCTCTCACCCCCCCGTCAACGGTGGGTCTCGGTCGTGTCCGGACTTAGAGAGGGATGGCTTCCAACCTCCCCCTCCTCCTCAAGGCTTCTTCACTGCCTTTTCGGCCTGTCCAGCGCTGCAGGTTGGTCAGCAAAGGTGCCTCCTGGCAGGGATGTCCTGGAGGGGGGGCAGTGCAAGGAGGGGGGGGCCTTGAGCGTGCAGGCAGGCCGGCCAGCCCCCGCCCCCCCCCGCCCCGCCAGCAGAGCGGAAGCCGCCCAGCACTCTGGGCCCATCTGCCTTTGCTGAGCAAGAGGCCTTGCAGCTGCCGGGGCTGTGAGTCGCTGGCAGTGCGTGGAGCTGCTGTCTGCTGGGGTTTACTGCTGTCTACATTGAAACATGGCTGGGGGTGGAAGAGTTAGTGGCGCGGTGCCAGCCC